ATTTTAAGTTGAAGCCAAGTTCTGGGAACCAAAAGAAAACTTCAGAAGAGACTCCAGTGATAATGGTTTTTAAAAACAGTGGTGGAAACAGAAAGTTGCTTTTGCAAGTTACAGACTTTCTTAACATTGTCTGAAATTCAGCATATTAAAATCCAGCCACCACAATCTTGCAGCAGCTGTATGCAAATGGAATATTAATCTTTAATGTTTAGACTAGAGATTCAAATTATTAACACATTCCATAACAAACCAGAAAGGTGTCTGTAAATGAAGCTGCTCAACATTAGGAGAAACTATGATACAAAGCAGGTGCTTGTTAAACCATACTGAGTTTTGATTATTTTTCACATTGGAGGCACAATGTTGAGTGAACAATAATCCTTGGGCAACCAGACACCTATATAAATCCAGAGGTCATCACAAATTCACACCCAAAACTCCACAATAAAATCACAATGTACAAAAACTTGTGCTGGGACAGCAGAGGGTGCATTCTCTGGCAATGAAGTTTGATTTAAACCGATAACCTGAGAAAGAAAAAGAGCGAGTCGGTTCTTTATCATGCATCATTCTTTATCACCTGCATGAGCACACACCACCCAGTCCCTGTTGCCACCTACTCTACTGTACAAACTAAGGAGCCGGTGTAAAGGCTAAGGCAAACCAATTTTCTTCATCCCGTGCCTGTCACTACACATGCAAGTGATCACCATCTCATCGCTGGTCCCTTGTGAATAAACAAGCTAACTGAATAACTGAACACTGATTCTAAGTGTGCACACTTGTTCTTTGATGAATATGTTTCATGTTAAATGAGGGCTTCATTTCATCATAGTGTTACAATTGAAGCCTTAAGTAGATCCAGGATTCAACAAAGAGTCTGTACTCCGTGGCATGGTGCAGGTGAATGATTTATTCTTTAGCATGTGCCATGTTCTGCACAAAGTTCTTTCACTGGTGGCATAACAATTCATGCTTTTGTACTTTGGTTTTGTGTGCAAAGTATTTACAGTAGCAACAGTTGGTCTACAGTCACAGTCCAGACACCACCTGTACTGGAAAATTTGTAGGAGAACTTCCATCTGTCCTCCTGTTACTGTAGAAACTGATGATGTCTCACAGGAACCAGAAACCACATTTAAATGCAACCTTTTTTGTCTCGGAGGCAAACAGTGTTCCTATGATGCGTTTATGTTATTGTAGTGTTGCTATAAATGTTGTAAACCAGAAGAGCCTTGGACATTTGATTCCATTCTGTTTGGATTTACAGTGGCATGATTGCACGTCTCTCCTCAAATGTGTGGTTTTTTTATCACTATAATTTGGTGAGTGTGTGTTTGTCCTTTGTGTTTTCAGTCTCAGGGGCATGTTTGAGTTCTGAGAACAGCAGGCAATATATCAGAGCAATGATGAACCCAAAAAAAAAAAGTCAAAAACATTCAATTCTAACATCAGAAACACTGAATAATAAGCAGGATATCAGCAACTGCACCCATGCATTGTGTAGAAATACAGAATCCCTTTTCAGTATTTAATAATGCACCATTGATAACGGATGCCTGAGCTAACAGAGGTATGTGACTAGCACACCAACATGTACTGCAGGTTAACTGCCCCCTGACTATGATCTGACCAGAGATTTGTGATCTTTTCCTCACAAGTCAGCTCATGTTGTGTGAAGCTGCAGAGAGGTTTGAGGAGAGAGCCCTTAAAACATTTAAGTAATCCACGTTGGACATGTACAGAAAAAGGCACTGGGAAATTTAATCTAACTGGTAATGACCATGTACATGTATTCAAACTGTTAGGTCCATTTTGTCTACATTATACATATTTGTCTTAAAGAGCTTCTTTAACCGCTACAAAATACAACAAGTGGTTTATCTGATATCCCTGCTTGTTAAGATCTGGCTCTAAAACCCAACTGTCTTGTTCTTAACATGGTGATCTCACTGCAATGGCAGTTCAGTAGCCAAGGAGAGCCTGGGTGTGTGTGTGTGTGTGTGTGTGTGTGTGTGTGGGTGGGTGTGTGGGTGTGGGGGTGGGTGTGTGTGTGTGCCTCTAAATGTGTACATGTAAGAAAACATCAAAATAAATGCAGAGGAGAAAAAAACTGTGTGTAACCAGCTTCTTCTTATGTTTCAGCCTGGGAAAAGGTTGAGCAGAGAGCACAGTGTTTGTAAATCACTACTAATCAGTCCTCCCTCCTTCCTGTTGTCTTCCCCTTCCCTATTTGGCCAAAAGCATGACAGATGGATACGGCGAGAGTTAATGATATTTTAAAGACAGCAATCACTCTTACATAATGTGTTGATTCATTTCAACAGAGGCTACATCCTGCGGCATCAGTCACTTGAAAAATCTTTTCTCATTTTTCAAAAAGTGTTACAAGCAGACATGAAACGATTTCATCATGTCATGAGACCTGCATCCGAGAACTGACCGTTTGGAGAGAGCAATCAAACTGCAAGACTGACAAGGACCAAAACTGCAATCACACAAGGAAATATAAGTTGAATAGGTCTTTTAAATAACTGGTGCTCCACTTTCTGCTGGTGCAGGCAAACAGCAGCAAAAAATATACGAATTCTTGGCGCTTACTTGGGTAAATCCACAAAATGGGTTGAGAATACAAATGAGCAAAATCTTTAATCTTTAAACAGCTAACCATTGATTAGGAACGACATTTTCATTTAATTATGATTGAGTTAAAGCCTCACCACCACACAGACCAACTGCACACGCACAAAAAAAGGAAAAACCCACCTCACAGGAGCGTTAAGAGTCAGATTTTGAATATGTGATCATTACATTTGTTTACATTATAGACTCCGCGTTGCATGTTCCCTTTCATATTTTTGTTTGTGCTGTGTTTCCAATAAAAAGGAGCAGTTTTAATGGCTGCCATCCAGCAGAATACACCCAACATCCTTAAGGATATTCTACCTCACAGAGTCTGACACAGTGACCCATTATCTGTGGTTGGAGCCTGAGGGGAGTGCACAAAGTCAGGGAACAGGCTACTCCAACAGGCAACCGCAGACCGATCACACACATGCATTTCTGACAGTCACTTTGGTCAGTGCTAGATAACCGCTGCTGCATAATGTAGAATCTAATAACCCTGGTAGCTGGGGAGGACTGCAGATAATACTGGCTGAGTGAGCTTGAAACTGGTGTTTATTTACCAAAAATTAAGCCTGCATGTATAAACAGCAAGAAGCTTATAAGGAGGCGATATGTAGTATGTACTGTATGTATGCTGTAGCTTGAGGTTCTGTGCAAGAGAGGACCACAGTGGATGTACAGGTGCAGAGAGCATCAGAGGCAAAATGCGATCATATGCCATCCACAAACGGAAATTCAGCAGGGAATAAGGCATAGACGCGCACATATATCCACCCAACATCGCCGAATGAAATGGCCCTAACAGTTCCACAGCCGTAACGCCTGTACAAACACTAATCACAGCAGAACTGCGGCGGTGGCTGAAGTTACTATGAAGGGCAAGGATGCCAAATTGCGTCGTGATATTACAACACTGAACATAGGGTTAATATAACATAAAGGCCCCGGCAATTAAAGCCGAGTCTCTGGGGGTCTGCTACACTGCTGTTCATCCTCCGCAGCGTCCGTCCAATCTGCCGTGAGAGGCGCGTCAAAGATAATGAGGGCGACAGAGCGAGTCAAACATTAAATACAAGGAGACGGGGATGTGCTGGAGGCAGCACGGGCGGTGAATACATGCACAAATCCTACTCACTTTGTAGAAAATCATCTTTAAAGTGCCGTAGAACCCCATCCTTGTAATCCGGAGTGTTTCCCTTTTTCCTCTTCAGTGACAATCGTTGAAGTCCAAATCTGTGCGTGTGCTGGGGAGATGGCTGTGACAGTGTGAGGGCAGTGTACTCTCAGGTAAATCCGACGCTGCCTCTGATGTGAACATGCTCGGGAACGAGACCGGACCGGCGCGCATGCAAGAGCCTCCCCGGTAAACGTCTTTTCCTCTCTCTCTCTCTCTCTCTCTCTCTCTCTCTCTCTCTCTCTCTAAGAAGATAAAAGCTCCGCCATGTCACGCCGACTTTAATAGGCTAGGTCGGTGGGTGAACAATGCGATGCGACGATCCCAGAGGTTTGTGCGCCGCGGACCAGCCTCAGCGAGCCTGGAGAGAACAGATGAGGGAGAAGGAGGGTGACACTCGGCTGAAAGGGGGAGGAGTGGCGGGGAGAGCGTCAGAGCTCAGAGCAGTGCCCCCTTCCTCTTCTCAGGCTGCACGGCGGCTCCTCCAATCAGGATGAGATTACAGCATCCCCGGTGGAGGCGGCAGGAATGGTGCAGTCCAGCATTCAACACTGTGCGCAGCGCATCCTCTGCGGGCAGGGTACCGGGGGACATATGCCCAGCAGACCAGGAGGCACACAGAGAACAGGAGGGAAAGTACCCTGGGTCTGAGCCTCACTTTATTTTTACATAGGTGTTGCCTTCATTAATAGCACTTCTCTGCATATAGATTATATTTAAGTTTGTTGCAGAAATGACAGTAGATTACAGTAGTTTACAGTGACCCACGACCTGAGGTACATATGCAAATACTTGTACTGTTTACTAGAGTATTTCCATTTTATGCTACTTTATACTTCTCCATTACCTATAAGGAGGAAAATGTACTTGTTACTCCAGAAAATAAGTATTTTTCCAAAGAATCTAAATTATTGTTGATGCATTTTCTGCTGATCAAACAATTCT